GCTTTGCTCAGGGCTCCCCAGTGGCTGGACACAGGCAACGCCGGGCAGCGTAGACCCGAACCATTTCAAGACTTTGTTCCCTTGGCTTGCGACTGGTGCGGGGAGGCACGACGCTTGGTGTTGCCTTGGCCAGTTGTTCAGTGTTGTTGAGATGTCACGCTTGCCGTAGCTCAGGAAAAGCTTCCAGTGATATCGTTATTTTCGGGGGTTCTTGGACTTGAGCTTGGGCTCTCTGAGCCGTGGCCACAGATTGCTTTGTCCCATGTGTCATTGCGCTTGTGAGCTTTCAGGCTGGTTCAACCCATTTGCTATGCGGGGGCCCCAGCGTTTGCCTTCTTTTTGGTTTCTGCCTTGAGTGTTCAGGTGGAGCAAAGCGAATTCTGCCAGTCGGTCATCCGGAGCCGCATTGTGGATGGCTTCGCCCACAACGCTCCAATCTTCGCGGACATCGCTCAATTTTCCCCTCGCCAGCACCTGACAGGGGGGCCCCCTGCTGGAGTCATTGGTGGTTTTCCTTGTCAAGTAGCTTGGAAGCTTCAGTTGGCACAAACCGCCGCTTGTTGCAAGGTGTGTGGCATTAGCCAAGGGGGTGTGCCGAGCTGGCCGCATGGCGGGGCTCGAAGACTGCCGCACAGGGTTGATCACAGAAGTCTTCAGAGTCCTTGACGAGTCAGCTGCGCCCCCCAACAGCGTTCATGTGCTGACAAGTGAGCCACCCCCCCATCAACTTCCCCGCTCTGCTCAGGTTTTTCTGTTTGCTGGAGAACGTTTCGCACCTGCTCAGCTCCAAGATGCGACCACTGTTCAACTACATCATCAAGGACTTGCAAAGCCTCGCGCGTGTTTGCTCGCTGAAAAAGACTGCAGGAGTTCCACTCTCGCCGCATGAAGGTGTCCTGGGCCACAACCACCGGCAAAATGGTAGGGGTGCATGCCGCCGGCTCAGCAGCAGGCAACTTGTCAGCTGGTGTTGGCAGCAGTTTCTTGTTCAGGTGTTTCGGGAGCGGGTGTTCATGCTGGCAATCAAGGAGGGCTGCAGTCACAAGGTCTGGCAGGCGCTCAAAGTTTAGGCTTGCACGCTACGTTTTCAATTGTCACCCAGGCTATGCCCCACAAGATGACTGCTGCTCACATGGACTTGCAGGCCAACGCTCCTTGGAACAAGTGTGGCCGAGTCAGTTTGACCAAGTGGCTCGCGGCCAAGCAATCTGACTTGGATGTCAAGCGATTGGCGTGCGTGGGCAACATTGTGATCCCGCGCTGTGCCCAGCTTGCCTTGCATGTCCTAGCTCATCAGGGCGAGGCTCAAATGTGAGGTCTGGGTTTGGTTGTGGCAAGCTGTTAGAATTTGATCCATTGTGAAGTGTTTGACCTCGTGCGCCAGACCTTGAAATTTGGGATCTAGTAGCTTTCTTTCGCATGCGTCACCCACAAGACGATCGTCACGCGTGCCGCCGGCAAGTTTTGAGACCGCGGTTTGTGTTGCAGTTGGCGTTGCAGATGCACGTGTCACGTGTCACTCTCCTTTTGAAAGTTTACTTTGCCTGTCGCAGAGTGGCTCTAGCGATTGACTAGAGCTCGGGCTTTGCCGCTTCGGCTGGCCATTTTTTATGAGGCTTGTGCAAAGCTGGTGGGGCGCCGCCTATTCCCGGTCGTGCCATGTAGACACAGGAAATAGCGGTTTTGCGGAGGATGTTGACACAGACGCAGACTCCAACCCTGAAGAGTTGGAGACGGTTTCCTTCAAAAAAAATCACGCCCAGGCAAGTCAATGCCCAACACATTGTCACACTGTGTCAAACATGCTGACCCGCAGGCGGCTGACTCTGCCCAACCAGCCAGCAGAGCCCAGGTTGGCGCGAGTGACTGCGACATGTTTCGCTCTCTCGCGAGGTTGTGTTGCTGGAGTTCGTGGAGAACCCCAGGAAGCTTGATTTCCAGGCGGTGTTTGCGGCATGCAGTGTTTGCGACGCGCCGTTTCTGTCTTCTTGTTGTTTCACAGCGACGCTCTGTTTTCAGGCAACGATGTCTTTGGGCGCTTTGTCATTGCCAGGCACCCGCGCGTTTTGAGATTGTCTGTTTTCTTCAAGTAGCGCGCGGCCAGGGGCAACAGCTACGTCTTTGAAAAGGCAGCGTCCTGCAGAAGGTGGGGTCGGTTTCAGCGCTACGATAGAAAACCTGTTTTCTGTCGCAGGAGCACGCGCTCCATCCAGACCTTCGCGGCCCCGAAAGGAATGAGCCTGCGACCCAAAGGTCGTGTAATTCAGCATTGCCTTGCGTTCTTAGACGCGGTGCGGGAAACAGTACGCTCTTGATTCCTGCTGTTGAGCTAGTTGCAAGTCTTTCAGATGTCGAGAGTTGATGTGTCACGTGTGTCTTTTGCTTGTGTCAGCGCCCGGTTGAGCACGCAACGCGTGAGGTGCAACGTTGACGCTTTAGCAGTCTTTAGCGCAGCAATGTAGCCTTCCTGACTTTCTTTTGGCGTGTTATTTCAAGCGCTTGCCGGGTTCAGTTTGATTGTTAAGGTTATTTTCAATCGACGCCCGATAAACCCATCCTTGAGCAAAACTAAAAAATGCGTCCCAGACAAAGTTCGACTTGCAGAAACACTGCTATGTTTGGAGGAAAATAAGCTAAGTGGCAAACTCAGGAAATTCTGGATTTTTATCAAGTAGCCTTGTCACAGCAGTTGCAGTTCAGTCTTTTAGGTGATTTGCCTAGGAGACAGGAGCGTGTAGTTGCGCGCCGTATCAAACTTAGATTGTTTCATTTTTGGGTTGTAGTTTGGCGCTGCGTACCTTCCCAGCCACGAGCTTCTACTTTCAGTAGGTACAGGTAGGGCGCTAGGCTGGCCCACGCAACTTAAGAAAGTGCTACGATAATCGCCAAGTGTGCGTGCGTCGATATGGTAATCCGCCGCCAGCAGAGAACAACATCTTAAGGGCTTTTTTCTGTACGACAGATTTTTCATCGCTAAAACAGGAGGTGCCCGCAGCGGTCAGCCATGCTCGCTAAATCAAGTAGAAAGTTGACCGTAGTCGGCGGTGCTTGGCCCAAGACTTACCTTCGTGTTTGGCGCAAGTAAGTGTAGGTTGCCCAAGTGTTGGCAAAGTTCTCCTGCGGATCCGTCAATCTCTATGATGGAAAGAAACTTTGGTGCTGAATTTGGTTTTGGAGACTCGTGCGGTGTTCTTCGTGTCATTTCAACAGCGAAGTGTTAAAAGGAAAAGCCGGGTAGGATTTCTTCTGGGCGATGTTACACTGGATGAAAAGCTGCTTTTTGACTTACTTGGAAGCAGCTGTGATCTACGTAGCAGCCTAAACTACGGCAGCTTGAAAATAACCAAAGCAGCTTTCTCCGCCCCACCAGCGAGAAAAACACACACGCTAGTTTCAAGAACAACGGGCTGGTTGAGCAAGCGCGCGTGACCTCTGTTAGCAAAAGCTTCGCGTAGGGCCAAGCGTCTCGCAGTGTGGGGTTCAGTTCAAAAGACAAGAAAGACGAGCAAGCCATGGCCATGAGCGCCTTCGTGCTGTCACGCCCAGTTTGGCGGCTTGGCAGTTAACAATGATCTCAGTGACTGCCGCAGCTTGCGTGTTGATCAGTGGCGCCTGAAAGTGGATTCATTGACAGCGCTGTTGGCAACTCAGGTCAAGGAGTTCTGTGTCCACTCAACCAATTTCGTTCTGCTACCTTTGGAAGGCGGCTTCTGTTTGTTCACGAGGCTTGTTGACTCAACCTTTTCGGTCACTCATTGAGTTCAGTATCCTACTGCCCACAAACTCAAACCGTTTATTTTTGTCCCCTTCCATTACCGGCGACTCCGCGCATCCTATGTTTCAAGTCTTTATGCCTGTGTCGGGATTGAAGTTGTTGTTCGTATTGGCTGCCAGCCACTGCGGGTCTTGCAAAACCGTCCAAAGTTGCGCTATAGTGTTCTGGAAAAAATCCTCACGACAGGAATCTTTGCTCAGGTTGCCCAACATGCGTTAGCTCCGCCGATTCCCAACTTTGTTAAGAGCCTGGGTCTGGGCAACTCTTCTTTCATTTTCAATCTGAGGCACTGGGTTGGAGTCGTCAGCAGCTGATGGACAACCAGGCCAACTTCAGCACGACGCATGATCCAGCCCGTCCTGCAGCTGTCTGATGAGGAGGAAGCAAAGCCGCCGCCTGCCCAGTCAGACAACAATGCAGTTGTCAACCAGCCCGTGGGTCGCCCTGCTCGTGTGAGCCCTCCAAGACCGAAGGGAGTGCGCAGCAAACAACAACTCAGAGCCCAGCTTGTCCGCACTCTGCAAAGTCGTTGCTTCTGCGCTAACACCCAACGGAAGTCGCCTATTAAGAAGAACTGCTTCGCCAGCTTTCAGGGACAAGTTGAGGATCTGCTACAACTGCGATTGAAGTTACGAAGTTTGCACAAATTGGATGCAGACAAGCAGGCGTGGGTAAGAACCAAAGCTAGCTGTTCGCCTGACCTCAAGTTTAATCTTTTTGCGCAGTTGTTTTTGGGCTCGAATTGGCTGATGTTCACGTCACCCAGTGTGACCAGGTGGCAGATTTGCTTCGAAGCTCCATTCAGGCAGGGAAAGTCAGGCACGGTCAGCGGGTTCTTGGGAAGCCGGTTTGCCCGACTGCTTTTCAGCGGCTACTTGGGATTGGCTCCGGCAGATTCTTCAGGCTGAAGCACTCAGTCAGCAAGGGCGAGCCTCCTGCTGTTGACGGCCGTTTCGTGTCGCAAAAGCACGCGCGCTGCAAAGGAAAGAAACACATGGCGAGAAGAGCGTTGGTCCACGAGTTTTTGGAAGAGATTCGCCACACGCTTGCTGAGCCCATGCCTGAGACTGCCAGTTACAAGCGCCCTACTGGTTCTGCCTCTGCCAGCGCAAAGGCAGAGGCGGAGGCGGGGCCAAGCGACGCTGCTCAGCTTGGTTTCCGGCGGCTTCGCGGGCGCCGCCCGCGGCTTGTTTCAAAGGAGGCGCGGAAGCACGACAAGTCAAGTATGAGGTTGCTTCCCCCGGGAACGTTCTCTGACTATCTTGCGCTGTTCCACGAGAAGCACACTTCTGACGGAGTAAAGGTTTCCTTGAAGCTGTTTATTTCCGTGCCGGCCTTAGCCCCTGCAATGTTTGCGCGAACTTATCACGCGTGGACTTGTTTCCCACCTGGGAGTTTTTCTATCATTCCCTTTGCGTCCCCTGCGCCGCGATTGTCGCAAGCTAACTCCGTCAACGCTGCTGTTTTTGTGTCGAGCGCGGGGTGTTGAGCTGATTCTAGCAGGGCTAGTTGCCGCAGTTACAAAGCTTAGTAACACGCTTGTTGTGTGGGATTGGAGGGCGCCAGGGTTGCTCTCAAGGTTTGGGCTGACTCCTTCGCGGACCTGCTGGCCATCCGACAGCAGTCCCAGCACGCCACATGTGCTTCCTGCATCCGTCACAAGATGTTGCTGAGAAAACTATGCGGTGACAAGCACGGGCGTGAGGCGCAGATGCAGCAGTATGTGCAGCACCTTCGTCGACAATACGCTGACAGGGCGGTGTATTGGTCCTCGCGCGCTGTGTCGCGATTGAAGACGCTGTCAAGCGGCCTTCAAACAATTTGCATGGTGGTTGACGCCATGGACCACTCCAAGTATCGATACCCGAGATCAATTGTGTTTTCATCAAAAGAGTTTTCGGGCTTCATCCGTCCCGCCATGGACATGCATTGTTGCATCATCCACGGGCACGACGTGGTCCTGGCCCTGAGCGAGCCCTTTTTGCCAAAAGATTCAAACTGGTGCAGCGATTTGGTGTCCCACTGTCTCCACCGATTGTCAGAGCACACTGATTTGAGGTGTTGCGAGCTCATACTCCAATGTGATAATACGACTCGAGAGTGTAAAAATAACACTCTTATGAGGCTGTTGTCAGCTGCGGTTGGCTCCCATCGGCTGCGTCGGGCCGAGTTGAGATGCCTTCAGTCCGGGCATTCTCATGAAGATGTGGATCAAGTTTTTTCTTATTTGGCATCCTTTCTTGAGGCGCACAAGGAGCTACACACACCTGCAGATTTCAAACAGCTGTTGGAGACCTGGCTCAGCAACCCAGAAGTTCGGCCCAACGAGCCACGACGCGTGGTTCATTTGGTTGGCGCTGTCCGGAACTGGAGCCTTGTTTAGATAAGGAACCTTTTCGGGGTGAGTTTTGTTTTGTTTTTTTTGCTGGTGGTTCGTGAGGTTTCCTTGCACGGGCGCTAGGCGAGACCATTTGCACATCGGCTGCTGTGGCAACAACTTGGTGGGCGTTGGGGGGCCGGGTGCGCCGCACACGTTTGCCTTTGACAGGGCCGCCGACTTGCCAGGCCAGGGCAGCAAGTGTTTGCGTGCTTGTGTTGCCCTTTTTCGGCCCTGACGCCATAGGCATTTTGCGGAACACCGTCAAGACATCCTTTTGGGATCGCATGGGGGTGCCGCCTGATTCTTCCGATGTGGTTCTTAGGACAGTGATGCTTCCGAAAGGTGTTCGGGTTCCAACAAACGCAGCACGCAGCGCCTCGTGCCCTGTCTTCAGGACAAAGCAGTGGATGTCGGACGAGTCCTTCCGAGACCCAATCTTGTATTTGCCAGCTGCGGTGTTAAGGGAGATGGCTGCTACGGGCGCTGTGCCTGGAGGCCTGGCAAAAATTCTAAGTAGCGCGCTTGTGTGACAGTTTGCGCCAGTTTTGGGGGAAGACCGAGAGCGCGATGAGAAAGCCTGCGACAACTGGCTGAAGTACGCTGGCCTCATGAGACACTTAGAGTATTATTCGGGGCGGGAAGTAGTTCGCGTTTTGATGTTCCTTACGCGCGTCTCAGGACAAGACCCTTTCAACATGCACGCGGCGGCTTGCCACCTAGAACGCTTGGCTCGCGGCGCTGTGGAAAGAAGCCTTCCTCTTGCAGTTGGAAGGCCCGGGCCCCTGTGTTGTTTTCAATGCCTGCCCTTGCAATGGCAGGTTCTGCCCTGCCCCGGGCCCTGCTGTTGGCTTGGGCATTGTCGGCAGAGCTCCAGTCATTGGAGTGAACTTGGACCCAGCCACTTGGCTAAACATGTTGAGCCGCTTGCAGGGTAGTAGGGGCGCAGTTTTGCCGGTAGCCTTGTGCTCTGCAAGGTGCCTAACGCGTTACACGTGAGGGCGCAGAACTTAAAAAAGCAGGCGCTTGGCAAGTACCGCGCTTCAAATCGGAGCCATCACATCCACGTCGCAGCTGCGCGGCTTTGGGCAGAAGGGGTGCAGTGGCAAAGGGCGATTGATATCGTGACTGAAGCCTTTGACGCTGCAACCTACGAGGAAGAGTAGCGAGCGGTTGCATTTGAGATTTGAGCAAGGGTGTTTGGTGATGTGTTGAAGCCACCGCTGTGCATTGACTTTACGCATTTAGTGCTTTTGAGGGCTACTGTCAGCAAGGACGGTTGGGACTGCGTAGTGTAGGTGGCCCCCTTGCGTGCTCAATTGAATTCTGAATCACGCCCTTGCTCACAGACTCAACTCACCAGCCTAGCTTCTGCGTGTGGCCGGCAGCCTTCCCAAGCCAATGCTGTTGCTTTGCCACAAGCAGAAGTTTGATGCTTACAGGCAATTTTTCGGCGCAAGGCAAATGCCTTGGGAGCACAACTCTGTTGGTTCAGGGGTGTCTCCAGAGCCTGCCTAATGACATTGGCATTCAGCACTACTGGTATCCTCAAAATGAAAAAACGTGCAAATTTTGGTTTTGAAATGTTGTTTTTTACGGTTTTTTGGGATTCCAAGTCCAATGAGTGCCTGATGCCATTGTGATTAGGCAGTACCAGGGGTTGCCAACAAAACATAGTTCTTGTGCATTTTAGGGGTTTTTTAGGGCTTGAATTATGCCACAAGCATAGGGTTTTGTGCGGAAACTCCTTGCGTGGTAGGCTCAGAACATAGCAGGCGGCGCCACTTGCTAAAACTCAAAAAAAATAGGGTGCGGCATGGACACGTAGGGGGCGATAAAAAGTGGTGGCACAGATGGTTGCGAAATTTGTGCCTGGGAGGCAATGTACTTTTAAGAAACCAGCATGTGCAGAATCACGACGCTATCAGGCACAAAAAAAGGTTGCCCACGGCTTTGAGAGGAAAAATGCTTATTGCTTCGGACACTTCCGGCCTGTTATGTGTTGCGAAAGCGCAGAGCCGAGGATTCACTTGTTGCAAGACGTGTCAGACTGGCTGTGGATTTTTTAAGGGTAACTTCGCGTGCTTTGAACTTGCGGGGAATGCGCTTGTTGTGCCGAATGTTGTTTGTGTTCTGCACAAAAAAGTCCTAGGTTGTTGTGATTCTGCACAAACAAGCCCCTTGTTGTTGTGATTCTGCACAAAAAATCCCGTTGTTGTTTGTGTTCTGCACAAATTTGTTGTGGTGTTCTGATTATCATGAGCAAACAAGCCTTGTGGTGCTGTGACACCACAGAAACAATTTATGTTGTTCTGAGTCTGCAGCGCAAACAACCCTGTGTTGTTCTGATTCTGCGCAAGAAGGCCAGTGTTGTTCCGATTCTGCGCAAGCGAGCCCAATAATGTTGTTCTGATAAAGCGCAAAAAGGATCATGTTGTTCTGATCCTGCGCAAACAAGCCTTCTGATTATGATAATGTTGTCCCGAGTCTGCAACAACAATCTTGGTTTTCTTGGCCTTTCGAAAAAGGCAAGTTTTGTTTGGTTCGGCGCAGACAGGCCCTTGTTTAGGCAACAAGCCTTCTTCGGGCTGCGGGCAAGCAAGTTCTCGTGCTTTGTTTTTCCGCAAGAGCCAGGGTTTTGCGGGAGCGTGTGTGGTAGACTGTGGTTTGCCAGGGTTAGACAGTTGGACGCTGATTTTCACATGTCTTCCCACGTGCAGTTGCCCATTTAAGTGGGCAATGTTTGTCCGGGTGAGGTCAATTTAAGTGTCAAGTGGAGAGCTCCGCAACCTCTGTTTGATTGCGTTGTTGGGCTTGCAAGACATCGCGAAGCAGTCTGGAAAAGCTCAAGGCTGATTGACAAACGCGCGGTTTCTAGAGTTGCTTGGCGAAAAAACAGCGCGATCGATGTTGCCTGTTGTGTTGGGCATTTGCGGCTGTGCTGAGTGTTGGCCGGGGCACGCCTTGCAACGCGTGCCAGGCGCTGAGCAGGCAAACCTCGCGCTTGCCTCAAATTAAGGTTCAAACTGTAGAATTTGGAGCTCGCTCGCTGCGGAAACTTGCGGGCTGCGCATTGGTTCCTAGAAGACATTTGCCAGTGAATCGCGCCAATGCCTGCAGTGATTGCGCATCAACTCGCACGACTTCATGGCTCTCATGTTAGCAATCGCATCCTCCTGTTGTGGGTGTCGGTCAAATGCCCGGCAAGCGGAAATCTCTTGGGGACAGCGCTAACAAGGAAAAGGCCGCCAAAAAGTCGCAAGACTTACTGGCCTTGCCGCCGGGGACGGCCTCAGCTTCTCACGTGAAAGATTTCGAAAAATGGCTGTTCCTTGGTTGCAGCTAGCTTGAAATCCGTGTGACGCAAGCAAGACTGGTCTCGCAGGAAGGAGAAGTTGGACTCGCACAAGTCCATTGATGCGTACTTCACGCATATCTTCAGCTCCAAGGAGAAGGGGCCGGCAGTTGGGGTTCAGGTTGTTTTGTGAAAGTGCAATTGCGCAGGAGGCTCTACTCACCTTCTCGCAATGGGTGGACGCTGAGTTTCCCGCAAGGTCTGACTTGTCCAAGCCTGAGGCCCCGGGAAGAAGGAGCCTCTTCCCGCTCTTTTCTGGGCGAGGGCATGAGAGTCGCCCAATAGCCACGCTTCCGAGCAAGGTCCTACGCTGTGCCCTCATCTCTTCAAAGCCACGGCGGCATCCTTCTGCGGCCTTGGCAGTTGCCGCATTCACCAGAGTGTGGCCTGAAAGGTTTGCTTGAACCAGTCCTTTGCCTGCACCGAATCGGAGCCGAAAAACACGGACACGACAGCTACTAATGTCGCAACGATTTGAGGACATTCACCTGCAACTCTGCCAGCTAATATTGGTCCAGGGGCGGCTTGGCTGCATTTTTTTACCACCAACCAACCGAGACGATGCGCGCGTGAGGTTCTTGACGGATGCAGATGTGGCAGGGGTGGAAAAGCTGGCTGTGTCCTCGATGCGGCCTGACTTGGGTTGCAAGCCTCCTTTTGACATTGCGGCCAGTGAGATCGACCCCGTGTGCCACAGCCTTCTTGGCGCCCAGTCCGTTTTCATGGTGAAGGGGTGGTCTCGCTCGGTGTGTTTGGCGACAATTTTGCTATGCGGCTTTGAGTCCCAAGACTTCGCGAAGGCCAGTCTGCTTGGCGGCGGTTGTCACAAATTGGGACAAAAGCGGGTCTGCAAGCGATTGAACCAAGTCGGTTGAAGGCCCTGCCCCAGCACGTGAGACAGAAGCTTGGCTGATTCAGTCTTTCACGGCGGTGTAGTTGATGCCTCGCCAAGCCAAGACCTGTGACAAACCTTTGTCAATGAAGAATTTCCCTCTCGCAATTTGTTGCTGTTACTGTTTTTTGTCACCCTCCCTTTCTGCTAGAATCGCCAGTGACCCACAACCCCAGCTCCACCCAGCATCACCAGCGCTTGAGTTTGCCTGTCATCGCCAGCAGCTATTCAGCGACTAAACAGCGACTGAATAGCTTGGAATTTTAGGGGGGGGTGGGGCAAACCCGAGTTCTAGGGTTTGGGGGGGGGGGGGTAAAATCCTTGGCTGAACTTTGGGGGCTGCAAACCCTTAGTTGAGTGCGGGCAAACCCCAGTTTGGGGGGGCCAAACCCCAGTTTGGGGGGGCCAAACCCCAGTTTGGGGGGGCCAAACCCCAGTTTGGGGGGGCCAAACCCCAGTTTGGGGGGGGCAAGCCATTTTTACAGTTGAGCGCACCCAAACCGCCCGCGAGCGTCACAGTTTGTGTTTGTGGGTATTGTCTGTTGTGCAAACCAGCATCATCAATTTGCAGACCAGCCGCGGTTCCCTGGCACGCCCCCTCCGATTTTTTGTTGAAAGAGGTTTGAGAGGGTTGAGAGTTCTCAGGAGCTTTGCGACTGTGCACGCGACGGTTGCTGTTGTGGCGGGGGTGGACGACCCGTCCATGCTGGTCCAGCAGAACAGGGGCCGCTCTTACCATGGTTTCAAACAATGTGACGCACGCTGGCTCTTATGTTTCGCAAACACGCGTCTGCTGAGGAATCACACTTGGGTCCTCCATCCGACGGAGGCCCAACGCCTTCAACTTGCTTCACCAGATTCGCCTGTTGTCGAAGATGGGCAAGCAGGAGGACAGCCTGGACTCCTTCAACTCCGCAGCTCAGGTGGCGCAGGCGTACCAGATAGGGCGCGCTGAGTCGGCTGCGGCGTTGAATTTGCACCGCAACATCAATGCAGAATCGGTTCAGGAATTGTCCAGCTTAGTGAAGATGCTTGACGAATCAATGCTGACGCGCTCGGTTTGTTCTTTTTCTTCCTTGCACGCCCCCTTGTTGCGGGTGCATCGGTTTTTCGTTTGCTTTCCACATCGGTTTCTTCCACCTAAGGATTTGGGGGATGGGCAAGTTTATGACGCATGAGCCCATAGCGGCGGGTGCCTTCAACCATGACTGGTGCTCAGCTGGGCCTCTTCTCTCCAGCTGGTCGACGGAGCTCACCAACACGCCCCAGATTGTCCACCTCACACTACAACGGTTAGGTGGGGATTTTGCCGCCCTTCACCCAAAGATGAGAAAACCTTTCGGTTTGAAGGAGGTTGCGCCTGAGCAAGGAACTAATGGCGGTTTGAACTTCTTGGAAAGCCCTACGTCACTTCAGCCGCATTATTTTTAGGCTTCCTTGCAGCAGTGCCAAGGAAGCCTGTCAGCGGAATTGCGCAGCCTACCTTGCAGCCTTCAAGTCCTTCTCAAACAAGTACCCAGGACAGTTTGTCAAAGCTGAGGATGCAGCCCTTCGAAGCGCGCTGCTTGTTCCCGTATTGGTTTGTTCCTCTTGCGCACTGCTCCTCCTGTCAAACAGTGCTTCATGCTTCAGGTTCATGATGAAGCACGCCGACGCTGAGCTCACGGCAATGTTGGAGGAAACGGTCCCGCCAGTGGATCTGAGCCGCATTGGCAGCTTTCGGGCCGTGATCCAGAAGTATCAGAAACAGGCCAGGGGTGTTTATTTTTTTACGACCCTCAAGCCAGTGGCTTTCTGAGGCGGAGGATGAGAAGGTTCAAGCTGCGGAGCAGAGCCGCGTCTCAAATGACGCAGGGTTGCAGCGCGAACCCAAGTTTGCCCCCAACCAGGCTGGCCCAGCAGTGGGCAAGCGCTACTTTCCAGCAAGCCGAAGCCAAAATGAAAGCCGACCTCGAGCAAATGCAGCTGTACCTCACGGCGTCGCAGGAAAACGCAAACCGGCAGGCGCCTATGTGGTTGGCGTTGGGTGCGTGGTTGAGCGTGTTTTGTCTGATCTTGTTTTGTGGTTGCGTCAGGGCGCTATGGACATGAAGTATTTGGCGACAAGATACGCCAAAGGCAAAGAAGCAGTTGCGGGCTTCATGAACAAGAACCACAGATACACGCAGATCAACTCTGGGCTTGGAGAGGCGCAAGCAGAGCTCTTGCGATGGCAGAACGAGGATGGTCAGGGCGGCGGCTCGCAGCCGTCTCTTGGCGCATCTTGTTGTTGCGTGTTTCTTGCCCTTGCTTTCTTGCCCTTGCTTTCTTGTCCTTGCTTTCTTGCCCTTGCTTTCTTGCCCTTGCTTTCTTGCCCTCTTTTTCTTCCCCTTGTTGTAGCTTTCTCCGATAGTTCCAGCCTAAGGTTTACCATCGCTATTATGGATTGCTCGCTCTGGCCTTCACGTGCCTCCGCCGCATTGAATGGCAAGATTGGGTCAGACCATTGCATGGGATTGACAATAGGCGCGCCCCCGAGTGTGCAGGCGCTCTTCTGATTGACGAGGCTGTGGAGTTGGGGAAATCCATCAGCAGCAACAACAAGAACGCCGTCCTGTTTGCCTTGCTGCCGCTGCCGCACGCGTCGACGGACAAGTTGACAGTGATCAAGAACAGACGGGCTTTGGAAGACAAGCTGTTGTCGCAGCTTGGCCACGGTCAATGAAACACAGTTGCGCAACTTGTAATTTCAATTTGCGCCCCCCAACCAAGAAGCATGGAGCTGAATGACATCGCCCTCAGCTTCAATGATTCGCACCATGGAGGGGACCGGCGCAAAAGGTCGCAAGCGTGCTACTCAGATGCATTGGCGCGCAGGTAGCGTTCTGCTGTGGTCGCTTTTGAGAGGCTTGGGCTGCGTCAGCTCAGTGCACAAGAACTTCGGCTTTGCCAAGTCAAAGGCCATGTTGGGGGCCATTGGGCCGGTTGCTCGGGCAAGGGTTATGGATTTGTGGAGCGACGATCCTGACCGACCAGCGTCGCCGCCGCAGAGGGTTGCTTGGTTAGATGATTTTGCGGTTTGTCATCGTTATTGTTTTTGCGGGCTGAGGCTTGCCAGAGAGGTGTGGAGGCTACACGGCAGATCTTGCAACATCTCATGGATGGCGCTGAGATTCCGGCAGATGCAGTTGTGTATGTTGTGGACATGATGCCCTCAAGGCTTGCCTTTAAATTGCTTAAACCATAGACTGACAAGTTGCGGTGTTTGTGTTAGGCCTTTGCGCCTGGTAGGTACAACGAGTGGGGCCGAGCGTGCTGGGACCTTCAAAAGAAGAGGATTGACAGTGGCCGCGGCTACGATTGGCGATTTGCTGCGTACGCGCTGCCTGACGATTGCGACGTTGGCGCATGCCGGGCGTGGGTGGCTGGCTGCATGAACACGGCATTGCGCTTAGTTTTCAGGTGCTGCCCATTGCCCCCTGCCTGTTGACGCGGATTGGGTCTTAGGAATGGTGGGACTCAAGCGAAGAAGCAGGCCCCAACACGCGCCCCAGAGCTCCTTTCAACCAGCAAGCGCCCAGCCTTGCGGTCCTTGTCTTGGAAGGCGAAAAGTTGAAGCGCTTTGGCTGCGACGAGTGGTCTTTTGCTGCTTGCGATTTCTCTAGCTGACCAACTCACTTTTGTCAGGTTTCCGCCTGAAGCCCTATCTGGTCTCGGCCCGCAAGCAGACAAGCTTGCAGATCAGGTGAAGGCTTTCAACGACAAGCACAACGTTGGTTTGGTGGCCATGGGCGGCGCAGCCGCGGCAGATGCAGCCACAACTTCATCCTTGGCCTTGTCAGCGCCAGCCATCCGAACAGGTGCCCGGCCTATTTTCACCGCTCCTAACATTCCACTTGACGTGGGGGACACTGTTGCCCCATTGGCAACAATGCCAACCTCAGACTTCCGCGCAAATCACGAGTGACCTGACTGAATTTGAAAGTGCAGTGCGCGTAGCAAACAAACGTGTCTTTGCTCAGAGAGTTTCATTCCAAGGCCCAAGTGGGAATGCCAAGCTGCTTTCAATCAGAGCGCCACGCTGGCTGTGCTGTCAGACTTTTCCATTTGGCTACTGAACAAGGGCGACAGCGAGCTAGACATCAGTGCGTGTGAGCTGTTCGGATTCAATGTGGGGAGTTTTGCTGAGAAAGCCGCAGGCCCGCAGCTTGTTTCCCTTCTCCGGCGTGTTTTATTGCCCCTGCCAGGCACGTGCCGGGGTGGCCTTGACAATGCTCTCCCGTGGATGTGTGAAACAGACCACGGGCTCATGGTGCAAGTGGCTGACACGAAGAAGCCCATTTGTTTCGCAAACTTGGCTTGCCAAGCGGCCAGCAGCCAAGGGTTGACAGAACTATCCATGGTGGACCACGACGTTGCGCAAGTGACACAGGACTGACCCAGCTTCAACGCATCTAAGTCTCAATTTGGTTGGCTTTAAGACTGTGTCGCGTCAGGATGATGGATCGCCAGACCCGTTTCGCTACAAGATCTGCGCCAAATCAAAAACCAACGTGTTTCAGCCGAAGCCTTTGGGCGAGGGTGAGCTTCGCCCGACAATGCTGGGGGCCGCCTTTCTTGGCAACATGAAGAAGCTTTGGAACAGCCCAACGCGATGCAAGGTTTTGTGGGAGGTTTCCTGTTTGCAGTTGGATGACTTTATTTGGCCTTGAGTTTAAATGCCCCGTTTGCTGCTGCCAAGGTGCGCTTGGAGTCTGGGATGCCGGCAGTGGTTACCCCCCTCAAGCCCAAGATGTGGCTGACTGGTTGTTTGTCTGTGCCTGCAAGCTCAGCAGTCAGGGTGCTGTGAGTTCAGAAAATGTTGGCTCCTGTTGTGTTGCAATGTGAGCGCTGCTTGAAACATAGAGGTGGTTATCATAGTGGGCTCACAGCCGGAAACATTGTGTCAAGGACTTCCATTGGTTGGGGCGCACGCGTGTGGCTGTTTTGAACTTTGTAGCAAGCCGGCGCAAGAGAAAAGATCGCGCGACGCAACAGCTTGTACCGACACCTCTCCCTGCCTTGTTACCCGCCTCAGTTTCTATTCAGGCCGTCGCGTACCTAGGATTAACCCCGCCATGCCGTTGACGCAAGTCAATGAGCTGTCCGACGACGAGCCAAAAGGAGCCCCGGCGCCGCAGCAGAGCGCAAATATAGATGCGAAGCCAAAAGCAAAACCAAAGGCGAAGGGAAAATCAAAATCCGCACCAAAGCCAAAGCCCGCCCCGACAAGGTCAGGGGAGTCTAAGGTTTCTGAGCCACCGACCAACGTCGTGAAAAGACCCGCGGCCAGTGGCAGCGACCCCAACCCAAGCCCAATGAAGAAGCCAGCCTCCAGGGCGCCCGACTCCACTGCAAAGCCCCCGAAAGTGACCAAGTACATGTACCACAAGCAGGGCAAATGGGGGATAAAGGTTGACGGGCGTGAACAAATGACGGTCGGGCGCTTACTCTGCCTATCATCAGTGCAGGGCCCGATGTACGTGTTTGTCCTTTTTCCATGTAAGGTCAAGCCCGCTGAGGGCGTTTCTGAGGAGAAGCTTGAGGAGATTGCCGCCGCTGCCTTGGAGCAACTGCTCATTATGTCTTGCGCCTGCTGCCTGAACTGTGTGAGGAGGCCGCCAGGCAAGAGTTTACAAAAGGCAAGGACAAGCTGGTGGTTAAGGACCTGGTGGCTGCCTTTTTGCATATGGCCGCTCAATGGAACAATGTCAGGCAAGTTTTAGGTGTTTTTTCCCGATGATTATTCTATGTAACCCAGGCTGTGATGCTTCAAGCAGCCGCTGAAGTGCATGAAAAGAAATTCGCGAAAGCAGAAAAGAACAAGGCAAGTTCAAGCGACCCCGTCTTAGGTTCCGGCCAGGCTGCCAAAGGCAGCGGTGATGTTTGTGAGGGCTCTGAAGAGGAGGCCCATACTGATGATGCCGCCCTGGATGTTGATTAGGTCAAGTGGCGCAGTAGAGTAAGCTTGCAGACAGCTGCTTCGGTGAAAACAAAGTTGCGGGCGATTGCTTGTTCACCACATTTACTGCCTGTGTTTCCTTAGAGCCCCCTAGCCATGTTGGGTTTTTTGAGGAGAGCATCCCAGTCATAGTCATGAAAGACAGATTGCGTGCGGCCCACTGGTTTTAGGCGGTAGTGTCAATGGCAGCGTCTTGCTGTTGGGTTTGCTGTGACACTGTGACACTGCGGCGTTAATGTGAAAGCCCTCTACGGCTGCACATGTTCCAGGTTGCTTATTTTGGTTTCAGAAGCCCTTAACCACTGGTCTCAAGCAGACGGATGCTGGTGTAAGCGTGTGTTGCGGAAAAGGTTGGGGTTTAAAGCCAAAAAGCAGTTTACTAGAGTTTGGGGTGGGTTTGGGGGCGGGTTTGAGGATGTTTGGCTCAAATAAAACAGTTCCCGCTGCGGACCTGTGTTCAGGATGAGTACGGCTCTGCAAAGAAAGCCTCAAAACACGATTGCGTTGTCGACGTGCTGCCGCCCCCTGCATGTCTGAGCGCGGAAACTCAAGGTTGTGGCCCGGCCACCCCCAGCAAGCGGCGCAGCGTGACCAAAGCCGCAGCCCAGCTTCTGTTGCGCGTCTCAAGCCGCAACAATATCAATCTGGAGCGTTGCGCCCACTGCGCTCGCTTCCCGAAGTTGAGCGGCTGGATTGCCAATGTTTAAGACAGGGCGCAATGAATGAATCAACCCCGCGCAGCCGAACTAATTTTGGTCAGGGCGCGTAGCCAGAAAACTCAGAGTCACGATGCTTAAAATGCTTCAACCCCGGTTGCGTTTCACAACCCCGAATAGAAGGAAAAAGACTTTCAAGGGCGTTCTGGCACCCATAGCAACTAAAGTGCTAATGAAAATACTCTTTGCTGCGAGAATGGCCCGTTTCGATTTGCTAAGAGCAGTACAAGGCCTTGCATCAAGAGTAACAAAGTGGTCTGCCGACTGTGACAAGGCACTGCATAGACTTGTGTGCTATGTAAATACCACCAAAGATTTAAAAATGTCATGTTTCATTGGCGATCCAATCACTCAATGCCGATTGTGGATCTTTGCAGATGCAGACCACGCCGGTGAACATGACAGCAAGTCCACTAGTGGGTGCGTGTTGGCGCTCGTTGGCCCCAATACGTACTACCCATTGACTGCCTTTAGTAAGAAACAAACTTCAGTGTCGATGAGTTCCACTGAAAGTGAGGTCGTGGCAGCCAATGTCAGCCTTCGTGCAGTAGGACTTCCTTCTGCCGGTCTGTGGGCGTACCTTCAGAACGCGGGGGGAATAAGCACGAAGAGCCCGCCGGAAGGCAAGGTCGTAACCAAAGTCGATTCTGGGGACTACTGGATTTACGAACCACACAGATTCATGTTATCGAGAGTGCACAAACGCGTTAGGAATACATTGTTTGATCCCGAGTCCACTAAAGATTGCCCCGTTAATTGCAAAATGTTGGGTAGATCCAGAACTACCATCATGATTGACGAAGAAGCGGAGGTAGATCTCATGCAGGACGATTGGAAATTCCAACCCCATAGGCCTGTAAAGAGGTGGACGGGAAGAACTTTGTTTCGTGTATATGGGATGTTTGATGTCGACTACCAAATCGAGTCCACCGAGATCAGGGAAGCCGTCACTGATTGGGACTACGTGGGAGATGAGAGGATTGGCTCGGCTAGCATTTCACTGTTTGG